ATTTTTTTTTTTTTTTTTTTTTTTTTTTTTTTTTTGTATAGATAGGATGTGCGCCTCCTCTGAATTTAAGTTTATTAAAGAAAATAAAATCTGCTGCTGTTGTTACTCTTAATGATGTATTTGTTGCTGCATTTACAGGAGCTGTACGGAGGTTCGTCTCCTGCTGCTGTTGTTGTTGCTGTTGCTGCTGCTGCTGCTGTTGGTTGTTATGGTCCTGCTGCTGCTGGTAGTGCTCGTCTTGCTGCAGCTAATGATGCCTCTATTGTTGCTGCTGCTGCTGCTGTTGTTGCTGTACGTTTTGATGCCCATCTAGCCGCAGCATCTGCTACTGGTGCTCCTGCTCTTGCTGCTGCTGCTGCTCTTGCTGCTGCTGCTGCTGCTGCTATTGCATGCATTTTGCTGCTATTTGTTGTATGTTTTATTGTATTAGGTATTGTGAGCTTGAAGGAGATTATCAGTTTAGCTCCCCAAAGCCCCAAAAACTCCCAAAGGCCCTCCTTGCATGCGCTTTCTACAGGTTAGCCAACAGCAGCAGCAACAACAGCAGCAACAACAGCAGCAACAGCAGCAGGTGCTGCTGCTATTGCTGCAGCGTCATTTGCCTCACTTATTTATTGTTTATGATTAAAGAAAAATGCACATACGCAAACACTGCATGCATGCATGCATGCATGCATGCATGCATACACATAAAAATGGCTACATAAACGCAGGCATGCATGTATTAATTAATATATTTAATTATATTTAATAATATTTAATTATATTTAATTATATTATGTATATATATATGTATATATATATATATAGGCGTACAAAAGAATTAGTAAATAGTTCTCCTTTATTATTAAGAAATAGATTTACCTTAACTTCTCTTCCTTTACCAACTCATTGTCATCACCCTAAGGAGACACTTTATCAAGTTAAACAGGTAATTATTTATTTATTTATTTATTTATTTTTTTTTTTGTCTCCTTTTGTATTTATTTTTGTCTCCTTTTTTTTTTGTCTCCTTTTGTAGTATATATTTTTGTCTCCTTTTGTGTCTCCTTTTTTTTTTTTCTTTTGGCTCTTTTTTGTCTCCTTTTTGTCCCCTTTATTTATTTATATATTTATGTCTTAATTAATTACTTATTGCTCAAGCTGTTGCTCCTGCACCTGCTGCTCCTTCACCTGCTGCTGTTGTTGCTGTTGCTGCTGTTGCTGCTGCTGCTGCTGCTGCTGCTGCTGCTGCTGCTGCTGCTGCTGCAGGAGACATATAAATTGAAGCGTCTACGTCAGGCAGCAGGAGACTTTTTATGCCAACGTATATTAGGTCATTTTCTTCCTTCTTTCTTAATAAAAAAAGCAGCTAATGATCTATTTAGGAGACATACTCTTGTTTTCTCTAATTTACCTGCATATACAGTACGTACTTATTTATTTATTTATTTATTTATTTATTTTATTTATTTTATTTATTTATTTATTTATTTATTGTTATTTTTTTTTTAATAAAATTTATTTTATTAATATTTAATTTATTTATATATTTTATTTACTTATTATTATCTGCTGCTGCTGCTGCTGCTGCTGCTGCTGCTGCAGGCGCCTGTATATTTTTGTGGTTGTGAGGTAACAGAGCTGCAGGTCTTCTATCCTAATTTAATACCTCAGGTAAGAACACACTAACTAGCTAACTAGCTAGCTAGCTAGCTGGATAGCTAGCTAGCTAGCTGGATCGCTAGCTAGCTAGCTGGATAACTGGATAGCTAGCTAGGCAGGTAGCTAGTTAGCTAGACAGGTAGCTAGCTGGATAGATAGATAGATAAATAAAAATAAATAAAATAAATAAATAGCTGCCTATACACCCCACAGTTACTGGCAGCAGCGTGCATGCATGCATGCATGCATGCATGTATATAGCGATAGTGCAGCACGCTGCGGCCCTCCTGTTCCTATATTGTTCTCCTTACACATAAAATCTAGGGTATCTAGGGTTTAGGGTTTAGGGTTTCTAGGGTTTAGGGTTTAGGGTTTAGGGTTTGTGGTGTATACAGGTAGAGGTGGTGTCATATGCAGAGAGGGTTTTCTTCTCTTTTGTTTATGATCCCTCTATTGTCAGCAAAGGGCATCTAATTCCTTCTTTATTTGTTGATGTTAGTTGCTGCTGTTGCTGCTGCTGTTGCTGTTGCTGCTGCTGCTGCTGCTGCTGTTTGGTGTTGCAGCTAGATTCTACTGCTGCTCTTGCTGCAGTGTCTCTTTATTGCTGCTGCTGCTGTTGATGCTGCTGTTCTTGCTGCTAACACGTGTCTCTCTTGCTGCAGTAAAATCTATACCTTTGCTGCTGCTGTTGCTGCTGCTGTTGCTGCTGCTGCAGGAGGTGTATCGTCTTGCTGATGCCTTTGGCATACCTTTATCCTTACAGGAGCTGCAGCAGCAGCAGAAAGTAGCAGCAAAAATAGCAGCAGCAGAAGGAGAAGCTAAAAAGGTTTAGATAGTGCTGCAGGAGCAGCAGCAGCTGCTGCTGCAGCATCAGCAGCAGCAATAGTAACACAGCAGTGTATATTTGAGGGATATATTTCTTCTTTCTTCTTTTCTTCTTCTTTTATTTATTTATTTATTTATTTATTTAAATAAATAAATAAAAGAAGAAGAAAAGAAAGAAGAAATATAAAAGAAGGAAACTACCGCAGAAACAAGAAGAGCAAGAGGAACAATAACAGCAGCAGCAGCAGCAGCAGCAACAGTTGCAGCAGCAGCAGCAGCAGCAGCAGTAGTAGCGGAGAACATACAAAGATAAGGATGTATCCGCAATAAATAGATTTTGTTGTTTTGTTGTGCATGCACATCTTTGTTTGTGGTGTATGTACAGCTTGTTTAGTTGCATGCATGCGTGCATGCATGCATGCATACAAGTTGTTGTATTTGTTTCTTTTCTTCTTTTTGTTTGTCCTTTTCCGCTAAATAAATAAAATAAATAAAATAAATAAATAAATATATTTATTTGTGGCTTTATTACCTTTATTATTTGTTAGGTGGTGTATTAATAAAGAAAAATACTTTTTTGTTTGTTGTTTTGTTGTTTGTTTCTTTGTATAGATATATAAAGAAAAGATAATTTTCTTGTCTTTTCTTTATTATTTATTTTCTTTATTAATTATTCTTTTTTGCTGCTCTTTTTTGTTCCTTTGTTTATTTTATTTTTCAAGCATTTATACAGAAAAAAAAGAGAAAAAAAAAAAAGCAGCAAAAGCTGCATAGACCTCAACATACACCTGGAGCTGTCTATACACCGCAAAAATTTGCATGCGGGGTAAATATAATTATATTTATCATTAAGTAAATAATTTATTTTTTATTTAGTTATTTGTTTATTTATATATAAATATAATACAATAAAAGATTATTATAAATAGGCGCCCCTTTCCCTCCTTATAGATTGCTCTTATCATTGTGCTAAACCCTAAACCCTAAAAATAGCTAAACCCTAAACACTAAACCCTAAGACCATTGCCCTCTAAACCCTAAACCCTCGAACGCTAAACCCTGGGCCCTAGTACTTAACAGGCAATACGCCCTCGAGCTCTAAACCCTAAGCCCTCAAACCCTACACGATAAACCCTTAAACACTAAACCCTAAACCCTCAAAATGTAAACCCTAAACCCTCAAACCCTAAACACTTATTCAATGTAAGTTTAGGAAAGTTTGCCATTTGCACACAACGATGTATTTATTGCCATTTATCCATAAAAGGTATAATAAGGAAATATAAAATTATCTGTATATTAATAGTTATATATTATATATTATAATTATATATATTATATATTGTTTCCCCTCCTTTATTATATAATAAATAGTAATAATCACTTATTATTAAGACTATTGTATGAGACACGAAGGGTATGAGGGGTCTTCTTGTTATTTATTTAATAAGAAATAAAAAGGAATTAAAATATTTAATTAAAAATAGATAAAAAATAAAGAAGAATCCCCCTTTTTATCGTTAGTCTATCCTACTATGGTGTGCAGTTACAGCAGCAGCAGCAGCAGCAGCAGCAGCAGCAGCAGCGGCAGCAGCGCTTTGGGTGCAGCAGCAGCAGCGAAGGCGCTGTCCATACACCCCGTTGTTGGTTATACCGTGCGTCTCATATGTCTATAGGTATATCAATAAAAAAGGAATTAAAAAATAAAAATTAAATTAATTAATTAATTTAAATATAAAAATAAAAAGAAATTTATTCTCCTCTTTCTTCATAGACAAGAAGGGTGCGCGCTTCTTCTATTTACGCGCTGCCCCGAGCTCCCGCCGCTGTTTCGCTGCTTGCCCAGGCAGCAGCAGCAGCAGCAGCAGCAGCGGCGGCGTGCTTGTTTCTGCAGAAAAAGGAGATAAAATATAGATAGACATAGGGTAATTTATTGTTAATTATATAAAATAATAAATAAAATAAATAAATAAAAAATAAAAAAATAGAAAAAAAAGATTATAGACGTTTGTGGGGGTGTTGAGACAGCAGCAGCAGCAGCAGCAGCAGCAGCAGAGCAGCAGCAGCAAGTAAGCAAGCAAGCAAGCAGTAAGCAAGCAGCGCTGTCTGTCTCAGCTGCTGCTGCTGCTGCTGCTGCTGCACAGCAGCACAGCGGCGCCCGTCGGCGTTCCCCTGCGGAGTGTCTGCTGCTGCTGCTGCTGCTGCTGACCTTTTTAGGTGTATGGGGAGCCATAAGGTTGTATATTTGCATTTTCTTTTGTTTAAAAAAGACATTTTAATTTATTTTTTGATTTCTTTTCTTCTTTTTACCAATTATATCCTTATAAGAGGGCGTCTTTTTTCTTCTTTCTTCCCCCCTTTTGCGGTGTATAGGCAGCTCCGTTTGCGCCATTTCTTATATATATATATTTAATTATATATATATAAAATGGCATTAAGCCTATCCAAAGCGGCATTTCTGCCGCTTTGTTTGTTCTTTATTTCCTCCTTATTATTCGCAAATGTTTATGCTTCTGATGAAGGAGGAAGTGACGAAAAAGGTAAACATTTTATTCTTCTTTTTCCCCTCTTTTTTTTTCTTCCCTATCTATATGCTGTACATACACCTCATTTATGGGGGCCAAGAAAAAGAGCATTAAATCACCTTTTCTTAACAATAAACATTCATCTTTCTTCTTTCTTCTTTTTATTTTTATAGAAATACACCTTATTATCCAATTTATACCCAAAATCTCCCTTTGTTGCTGTTGCTGTTGCTTCTTGTGCTGCTTGCTTGCTTGCTTGCTTGCTTGCTTGCTTCCCTGCTGCTGCTGCCCTGTATATATTATATATATTATACACTATAAATAGTTGCTGTATTTATTTCTATACATACATCAATTAATATGTATTAATTGTTGTTTTATTGTATATTATTTCTTTATTATATATTTATTTTTTTGTTTATATATCCTTAATAGACACAAAGCAGCAGATCCTTATAATTATATAATTATCCGTGCATTGTATATATAATGTGCATATACACCTGAATAAAGAAAGAGCAGTAGAACTGTGGGGTTATATATAAAAGAATAAATAAGAAATAATTGTTAATCTTTTTTGTTTTTTTTTTCTTTTTTTTTGTGCAGTTAAAGATGTTGTGATTGGTATTGATTTGGGTACGACATACTCGTGCGTTGGGGTGTATAGACAGGGACGTGTAGATATAATACCTAATGATCAAGGAAATCGTATTACTCCTAGTTATGTATCTTTTGCTGATGATGAGAGACGTATAGGAGAAGCAGCAAAGAACGAGGCAGCAAATAACCCAACAAATACAATATTTGATGTAAAACGTCTAATAGGGAGAAGATTTAATGAGAAAGAAGTACAAAGAGATAAAGAATTACTTCCTTATAATATTATTAATAAAGATGGTAAACCTTATATACGTGTTATGGTTAAGGGACAACCTAAAGAATTAGCACCTGAGGAAGTATCTGCTATGGTCTTAGGTAAAATGAAGGAAGTTGCAGAGAATTATCTTGGTAAAGAAGTTAAGAATGCTGTTGTTACTGTTCCTGCATACTTTAATGATGCACAAAGACAAGCAACAAAAGACGCAGGTGCTATTGCAGGTCTTAATGTTATTCGTATTATTAATGAACCTACTGCTGCTGCTATTGCTTACGGTCTTGATAAAAAAGACGAAAAGACTATCCTTGTCTACGATCTTGGTGGTGGTACCTTTGATGTATCCGTCCTTGTTATTGACAACGGTGTATTCGAAGTCCATGCAACTTCAGGTAAGAAACAATAACTATTTATATTTATATATAATTACTTAAATTATGTAAATAAGAATGAATTTAATTAGGTTTAATAACGGTTTTAATCATTGATTTTGCTGCTGCATTTATCAATGTTCAATTATTATTGGGGTGTATATGCAGCTTCCTTTTTTTCGTGTTTTTTTGTATTTAATTAATTTTATAGGTGATACACATCTAGGAGGAGAAGATTTCGATCAGAGAGTAATGGATCACTTCCTGAAGATTATTCAGAAGAAATTCGGCAAAGATTTAAGAAAGGATAAGAGTGGACTGCAGCGCCTTCGTCGTGAAGTTGAACGTGCGAAACGTGCTCTTTCCTCTTCTCACCAGGTATATAATTTTTTATTATTTCTTGATTAAATAATTAATAAATATAGAATAAAGAAGGAAAATGCTGTTAAATTCACATTTTTCCACCATTTTATACATGGTTTCCACTTATTCATGTTTTCGTTATATTTCGGGTGTATGTACAGGTTACGGTTGAAGTTGAAGGTTTAGTTGACGGCGAGGACTTCTCCGAAACCCTCACTCGTGCAAAGTTTGAGGAATTGAATGCCGATTTATTCCAGAAGACATTGAAACCTGTTAAACAAGTTCTTGAAGATGCAGACTTAAAGAAATCACAGATAGACGAAATTGTTCTTGTTGGTGGTTCAACACGTATTCCTAAGATCCAACAACTTATTAAGGAATTCTTTAACGGTAAAGAGCCTAACAGAGGAATTAATCCTGATGAAGCCGTTGCTTATGGTGCAGCTGTACAAGCAGGTATCTTATCAGGAGAAGGTACACAAGATATGGTCTTACTTGATGTTACTCCTCTTACTCTTGGTATTGAGACAGCTGGAGGTGTCATGGCTAAAGTTATTAACAAGAATACCGTTATTCCCACCAAGAAGACACAAACTTTCTCTACTTACTCTGACAACCAGTCCGCTGTCCTCATTCAGGTATGTTTTCTTACCTATTATTATATATTATACATAATTTTCCCTCCCTATATAAATATTAAATAGGAAGAAGACAGCATACACACACACACACACACACACAGACAGAGACAATAGGTAATGGATGGATGGATGCATGTATGTATACATGTATGAATATATGTATAAATTGTTGTGTATATGTATATATATAGGTGTATGAAGGAGAGCGTCCTATGACAAAGAATAACCATTTATTAGGAAAGTTTGAATTAACAGGAATACCTCCTGCACCTCGTGGTGTACCACAGATAGATGTAACATTTGATGTAGACAGGAACGGTATATTGAATGTAAGTGCTGTAGATAAAGGAACAGGAAAGAGCGAGAAAATAACAATAACTAATGATAAAGGAAGACTTACTCCTGATGAGATAGAAAGGATGATACAAGAAGCAGAAAAGTTTGCAGATGAGGATAGAAAAACAAAAGAAAGAGTAGATGCAAGAAATGCCCTTGAGGGGTATATACACTCCATGAGGAGTACAGTAGAGGATAAAGATAAATTAGCAGATAAAATAGAGGATGATGATAAAAAAATAATTACAGATAAAATTAACGAAGCAAATGAATGGTTAGTTGCTAATCCTGATGCAGAGGGAGAAGAATTAAGAGATAAATTAAAGGAAATAGAGAGTGTATGTAATCCTATTATCTCCAAGGTGTATGGACAGACAGGAGGAGGACCATCAGATTCAGGATCTACTACTTCTGGTGATGATGACTATAGCAGTCATGATGAATTGTAAATTTATTTTATTTATTTATTTATTTATAATTTATGGTAAAAAATAGAGGAGGAAGAGAAACAGGAGGAAGAAGAGGGGACGGGAAAGGAATGATAGGAGAGACGAGAAAAGAGCCTAATTTTCTTTTTTCTCTCTCTGTATTTCTTTCTTTCTTTCCTCTCTTCTTTTTCTTGTTTGTGTCTGTAAGGGATAGATAATATTTTATTATTATTAATCCTTTATATAATTATTATTATTATTATTATGGTGATGATGTTGATGTGGTTAATTAATATTGCCTTAAAAGGAGTTTTCTTTTCTTCTCCTTTATTTAGGTAAAGAAAAAAGAGTAGTAAGTAATTATTATTAATATGTGTTATCTATCCATTACCCACAAAAAGGATTATAATAACCTATGCAGCACTCATATATACATTATATATATATATATATAT